TGAATTCCTTAGGACAGTCGTTTATATATTCGTAAAGTGGGGTTTTTTATGTGCCTCACGAATAAAATAGATAGAATAAAAAAAATACATGACCTTCCTGTGTATATTATCATCGCAGTTTATCATATAGATAAATATATTTGTAATGTAAATTGCTCATAGGAGTGTTTTATGCCATAAGTGATTAGGAAATGACGTTAAAGTAATATTTCTTTAAACTGGAGTGCTTCTCGCATGTTTTGCCACAGAGTACAAACAATAACACCAAAATGCTTTCATCACAAACAGTTTTTTGAGAAATGTAATACTTTTTACCTTCAGAATAAAATTTCAATTGAAATACTCTATGGCTATGTTGAGTTTATTAGGAAAATATATAATAAATGTTTTAAGTAGGTTCATTTTTTGATTACAAGAGAATATACCCTACAAATAAGTGCGTGTTACAAATTCTCGTAGTCAGAATGTCTTTCTTGTTAGAGAACAGCATAATTGTTACATGTTATCGATAAAATAAAAATGTCTATTGTATTTGTTTATTCTTCATATCAGAGGAGTCAAGAATATTGCCTTTTAACAATTACCATGAGTATAATTATAAAATTAACAAATTTTTGGACATGACATTGTGAGCGGCTCCTATCGTTTTTATGTATAACAAAATTTGAAATTTAACACCATGGGTAGTGAAGAATTATACGTGTTCCATGCTATACAAGTATCACCACGAGCCATTTGTTATCCACTTTACCTTGAAGATGGAGACAGTAAAGACATTCGAAGCATCAGTAATACACTCTACACTACATGGTGCTGTATTTCAGAATTGGGATACTCATTAATAAAGCAACATTTGAATGGAACCTTTTGCGTTTATATGTTAAATTGGACTCAGAGACCTATATTTATACAAAAGTTTTATATCTGTAAAAATCTGCCTTTCGAACAATGATTTCAACAGAAGATATTACCCCTTACACCCTACACCAAAAAAGAATGTGCAGTACAAATATTTCAATTGTGTTCGTACGCTCCCAGTGTTAGCAATGGTCCGCACTCCATTTCACAAGCTGACTGGCATCTAGGCCCGTTTCGTTGAAGGCTTTAAACGCTTTTTCCAATGTCGCTTCATCAGGACTCAGGTTTCGAAACCCGATGGAGGAAATTCCTGCAAACAGATTACGTGTTGTATAAATTCAGCTTAGAAGTGTTAGCTGATTAATAAAAGACAGAAACAGTGATAAAGAAATAAAATTGAAGTTAATGTTGGAGGCAGTGACGTCCCACGTTCTTCGTCTGTTTATTGTCGACAGTCATCTGCGAGTTCCAGTCGCTTTACACCCTCCTCCAGGTTGCCGTTTGACAGGAGCTTGGGAGGGTTTATGAGCCGTTCTGGACGTGGGGAGGAATTCTTGGCCAACCCGGGAATTGAAACCCGGTCGTCCAAACCGCAGCTAGTCTCAACACCGCCTGAGCTTTCTCGTTTAAAAATACAAATGAACACATGAAAATAAATAACTATGAAAACAGTGTTTAAATAAGTGAACGAATTAAAACAAATTAATGCATATGAGTTTGTGACTTCTCAAAAAGAGACCAGTTGACGTAACAACGAACATGATGATTTGTTTCTTATGTTTTCTTTAAAAGCATTGAAGGTGAGGTGGATACGGCATAGAGCAAGCTTTGGGTAAGGGAGAAGAGGATATAAAATTTTTGAAAAGAGAATTTATAGAGTATCTCTTCTCAACGTCAAGCGTTAAGTGGCAGATAAATGTTAAAAATTTATATTTTCAGGAAATTATGTCTTCACAAATAATAAATAGGCCTATTAAACAGTTTGTTTGTGACGAAAAACACACATGATTGCTGAGGGTAGGCGCCGATACTGGGACGGCGGTGGTGTACCGTCCTTATCAGCAGGAGGTTAAGTGCCAGAACGTCAAGGAATGTTATGCAGGGACAGATGGGGTAGAAATGTTGAAAAAAGTAAATGCTCAGCCTTTTATAGCCTAGTTTATGTGTCGCAAGAGATATACGTGTTGGATCTGAAGTTATCTTATCTGTGAATACGAGGATGTTCTTTTGGGCTGTGATGCTGTATGGACTCAACGTCTCTGTATTTGGTGCTGAAGCTTCGATTCTCTTAATAAAATATCCATCAAGAAGTTTACTTACTATTTCCACCCTGCTTTGAGCAATACGTTATTACGAAGAAACTGTCTTGCTCGATTGCCAACAGAAGGTAACTGCCAGTCCAAAACGCTGCAGGAATGAATAGTAATAATTTGTTCAAGTGACAGAAAATATTTCTGTATGCTGCAGTAAACAAAGTTAAATCCGAAAAATAATACAGACCAATCGAATCCGAGCGTGAATTGACCTGATCCTTTGCTCTTGGAATTTTAAAAGATGGACATGATATCTAAACCTTGTCCATACCTGTGACCGCATTTAGATTTCTAAGTGATTTAAGGGTGTAAAGTTTGTCTATGTGAGGAAATTTAATTAAATCGGCATTGCCAGTTATTTAAAATGTAACTAACTTAGTATTACAAGCAGGTCCACACATTACTAAGTAATTGCCTTTAAGAGAATTATCAACTATGTGCATACTTGACGTTACAGTAATGTGAGCAATTGTTCATTATGAGCATTAATTTATTTATTTTTTGCTATGGGTGTATTTATTTTTAAATGTAAAATTGTGTATCTTGCACGATATATTTATGTGTTTCAGCTTTGGCGCCAGAAAAGATGTTTGTGAAGTTGTGTTTTGTAGCACAGTGATTAACTATTTTAACTCTCAGTATCAAAATTTTGCACACAGGATATGGTAAGGTTTCGTGTTGTTCTCAGAATTAATAAGTAATATTTCAATATTTCATCATTAATCAACTTCTTACCTGTGACGAAGATTATTATAATCATCGTAAGCCATTAAGGATGTGAAGCAGATATTTGGACATTTATTCATTTATTGAAACTTGTTTCAGATGCAACTTAAATAACTCAATTTACTTTCTTCCCCGAAGCGTTTGGTACTGTTTCCTGATTAAAATATAACTAGACACTTCAGTTCATACTTACATTTTTTTGCTGGTGCCTTCAAAGTATCCGTTGTTGTTAAGTTAGAATCTTCTTCAGTGATTCTAACTTCACGCTGTTTGCTGTTAGAAACGAAAAAGAATATTCAGTTCATTAACCTATAAAATGACTACAAAATATTTATCTTATTATATTATAAACGGTCAGAATATCGAATCGTGTAATTGACCGACAAAGTATCCTAGACTTACTATAATTGAGATGTGTACAATAATGAGAGTACAGACGGACGGGCAGCTTCATTGTAAAATATACAGTACTACAGCAACTCGTATTCTCCCACAAACCGTACCAGAGAGTGATAGAAGTACAATACCGAAAGCAGTATTATCTCGAGCAACAAGCCGTGTCAGTTGTGGACTAAAGAACAACGTTTCGTAGACCAATTCCGCCTCCATTATCAAGGGAAATATTTTAAGGTTGACCGACTCAAAAGAAACCTAAAATAATATTTTGTAACTCGTTTGAAGTTTGAAGGTTTTTTGTGATTGCGCTGTAACTTGGATAGAAATGTTTTTCTTTTTGTAATTTACCATCGTCTAGGTTTCATTACAAACACAGTTTATTGGTTTTAGGCGAGAGAAGGACAAAAGCCTAGCCTGTTGGAGCTGTCTGTTCGAATTAGGCTCGTACGTGGACCAATCAGGGGGCCAGCGGCCCTCGAACGATTTTTACAACGATGGATTATCTTGTAGGATGAAAATTACATA